AGCGAAAAAAATGTCATGCGAGGTAACTGTCCAGCAAGGCAGCACTGTATCTCTAATGGGATTGGATGGTTCCCCTCTCTCCGCAGGCTGGTACCAGGAGTCATCCAGCATGTCCTTGATCAAATGTGAGCCCTATTAGCTGAAAACAACAGAGATGACGACAGCAGCAGCACATTTCTGCTGATTAAAGGCAATTTCAGAGTGCAAAGGACTCATACACAATATGGCAAAATTGGAGGCTGCCCTGAGTCCCCTAAGGGAATTTTTTTTAAATCACGGCCAATTTACCTCTGCTAATGGAATCGTTACCATTGCATAGAAAGAACGATGCAATAGGATTTCAGTTGGCAATGCCTATGGTAGAATCTTGACCACTTTTTTAAAAAAATGACTAAAACTGTTCTGAAGCGAAACTTTTAAAAGATGTGGTTTGGACAGCTCTGCTGAAAGAAGAGTCAACGGAAGGCCCTTTCGAAGGGATCGATGTTTTCCCGTGTTTTCTGATCTTCATTTGTGTGTTTGTGGGGGTCTGTGTCGGGAGAGGGCTGCTCATTTGTTATTAATGAAGACTTAATGAGCAACATCGTTAGCATGCACCAACCAGGCTTTTTGAATTTGAGTGACACCGTTAATGAGGATACACATTAAATTCCTTTCCCCGCCCACAGAGTATTCATAAGAAGCAGACTCGTCAGGCTTGGGGGGGAGACAATAACGAGGTGGTTTCAGAACGAGGGAGAGAGAGAGAGAGAGAGAGAGAGAAGGGCTTGATTCCCTGTATTTTTTTTGGTTCCAAAACCTCCATCTTAAGTCTACTTCCCTTCTAGATGTCACTGCAGTTGGCTGCAGTGAAAGCCTCCTTAAAAACCCACATATTAAAATGTCACTGGTTATTCCTGCTCCACCACCTCCAGATACAGATTGAGTTGAGAAATGACTTTCCTTGCCATCAAAAAAAATCACTTCCCGTTCACATCACGTCCTCCCACCCATGTGTTCTTGGATGTTCCATGACTCACTAGGCTGATGAACTTGGCTGGATTTCACCCAACATAACCAGGCTGTGTGAGTGGAGGAGTCCGGGGAGAAAAGCATATAAATTGCCCCCCAAACCTCTCCTCTATTTGAGATACGTTGGTGGCCTTTTTATTAGCTGGTCCGATGGAGAAGATGCACTGGAGAAATCCCACCAGAACTTTTCTGACTTTCTGTCCTAAAACAGGGAAAAAATAGGCAATTTTGGATTGTCATCTTACCTAAGTTGCTCAGAAAGTGTCTTAATTTCCTGGACCATCATCATCATCTGCCTTCAGAATTTCCAAAGTATAAGAATACCCAGAAACGTCTTACTGTTTCCTTCTTCTGTGGAAGGACTCTGAAGGGCAGCAGGGAGGAAATTAGAAAATATTGTCAAGTGCAAGGATGTGTGTCACTTGGAGATGCAGAACAAGATCATCCACACCTCTTGTATTTCCTGTTACCATGGTTGGATGTATAGAAAATATTGTCAAGTGTAAGGATGTGTGTCACTGGGGACGCAGAACAAGATCATCCATACCTCTTGTATTTCATGTTGCCATGGTTGGATGTGAAAGGTGGACAGCGAAGAAAGCTGATGGGAAAAGATTTGTTTGAAATGTGGTGCTGGATGAGAGATTAGAAAATTGGGGGGCGTCTTATACATGGGGGTGTCTTATACACTGAAAAATATGATAACTTCACAGGGAGAAGGGAGGCCCCAGTGGTCTCCAACCTTGGGGCCTCCAGATGTTCTTGGACTTCAGCTCCCAGAAATCCTGGCCAGAAGAGGTGGTGGTGAAGGCTCCTGGGAGTTGTAGTCCAGGAACATCTGGAGGCCCAAGGTTGGGGACCACTGCAAAAGACAAACCAGTGGGCCCTAGATCAAATCAAGTCTGAATTATTTCTGGAGGCCAAAATGTTGAAGGTGAGGCTCTCCTACTTTGGGCACGTCATGAGAAGACAGGATTCTCTAGAAAAGACAATAATGCTGGGAAAGGTGGAAGGCAGTAGGAAAAGAGGAAGAACCCAATAGGAGATGGTCTGACTCCCTAAAAGGAATCTACAGGCGTGAGCTTCCAAAAGCTGTTGAAGACAGGACATTCTGGAGATCCGTCATTCATGGGGTCACCATAAATCGGGGGCGTGACAGGACATTCTGGAGATCCTTCATTCATGGGGTCGCCATAAATCGGGGGCAACTTGATGGCACATAACAACAATAATAACCTTCTGCAAGCCAGCTGGACCCCAAGAGGTTGCTCAAAACATGGACTTCAAATTCACAGACTTTCTCATCTCTCCTGCTTCCTTGCTGTTCTTTCCCTGACTATCCTGTTTTGTTGCCCAGTAGCTGCAAAGGGAAACCAGTAGGAAATGTCTATGAAATTGGATTGGTTGGATTTGTTTTTTTTTTCTCTCGAGGAACCCGACGTTTCAAAAGGAGTTTAAAATCTGTGACCAAAAACGTTTAGAACTGAAGATTAAGGGACCGAGGAATTTCTGCTTCATGGCCATTTGGCGCTTGCAGGGGCAGAAAAAAAAAAACAAAGCAATGACAAGTTTTGTTTCACTAGACCTTGATGGGGAGATGGAAACGTGGGTCCGCCGCAGTGGCCGTTGCAACACACTCTTCGGATGGAGTCGCTCCAGTGTCAGAGTTCTGTGTTAATGGGCAAACCCGGAAGGCCATGGCTGGGAACCAACGTGATTCAGAAGGGACTGAAATTGTTTTAAGTTTGACGGGCAAATCTCTGTAAACTACAAGCTTGAAATTGGTTTCAGGAGCCTGTAGGGTTAACTTGTCTTCACCAGCAATAATACAAGAAAGGGTGGACTTGATGTGGTTGCCACTCTTTTCTGTTGCCTGTCTAGCCTGTGCCAGCGCGCTGGGAATGAGCCCCCCTCAAGGGACGAGCCTCGCAGCCCTGGCAGCTGGTGGTGCTGAAACGAGCGTTTAAAGTCCTCCAGTGAAGTCCAGATGGCCTATGGGAGCAAGAATGTGAAGCATAGGAGCTGTGCCACATGTCACATTGCCCTGTGGCTGTTGGATAGGTGGCAAAGCGCTGTCTCCCTAGCCAAGGCCCATTGGAATGGACCTTGCTGGCACTTGGAGGGCTCTGCCCCGGCTTGTTTGTTCTGCAGACCTCCAGCTTCCTTTTGGGGGTATCTTCACCAAGTCCATAGGACTCCTTGATCTTGTTTTAAAACCAGCCGTGACACCCAGGTAGGAAACGGGAAGATAAAGGAGAGGCACCTGCCTTACCGGTCCCGGTGGTCTGAGTGAGAAGAGTGCGCGCAATGGACATGGATCTCCCTGTGAAGTTATCGTATTTTTCAGTGTATAAGACGCCCCCCGATTTTCTAACCCAAAATTAAGAAATAATAAGACGCCCCCATGTATAAGACCCCCCTGATTTTCTAACCCAAAATGAAGAAATCCAAGTGGGGCTTTGCAAGTGTAGGGGGAAAGGGATCGAAGCGCTGCAGGATCGCTTTGATCCCTGCTTCCCCCTCCACTTGTTTTTGTTCTCTCCTCAGCTTACTTCCGTGTGTCACCCTCACTTTTTAGTGTAAAGATTTTAGACAAAAGTATAGTCTTATACGCAGAAAAATACAGTAACGAACAGATCCTGTAGTGTTTCCAAAATCTGCAGTGTCCTTTGGATTGCAGGCAGCAGGGGGACGAAACAAGCCTGGGTGTGTTGCACTAAGTTCCATCAAAGTGGGGTGCCTCTGTGTCGTCGTCGTTGTGGTTCCATGCTGTCCAATTCCCTGTGACTTATGGGGACCCTAGGAATGAATGACCTTCAAAATGTCCTATCCTCAAGAGCCCTGTTTAGCTGATGTAAATTCAAAGCTGTGCCTTCCTTTAGGGAGTCAATCTATCTCACATTTCACTTTCCTCTTTTCCTGCCACCCTCAACGTTTTTCCAGGAGCGTTGTTGTTGTTTTTTCCCCCAATGACTGTTGCCTTCTCATGATGTTCATAAAAGTACAACATCCTTGATTTTGTTGATTTTGCCTCTAAAGGCAAACCCCCACATTCAGGCTTGATTAGATCTAGGACCCACTTGTCATCAGTCATGATAGCATTTTTCAGATACAGTGGTGCCCCGCATAGCGAGGTTAATCCGTTCCGGATTAACCTTCGCTATGGGGAAACATCGTTAAGTGGGACGGGGAAACCCACTGGAACGCATTAAACTTTGTTTAATGCATTCCAAATGGGCCCAAAACTCACCAGTCTCCAATGTTTCCCCATGTTGCGGCGGCCATTTTGGGTGTCCCGGTGGCCATTTTGGGTGTCCCGGTGGCCATTTTTAGTGTTCCGGTGGCCATTTTGGGTATCCTGGTGGCCATTTTGGGTGTCCCAGCGGCCATTTTTAGTGTTCCGGTGGCCATTTTGGGTGTCCCGGCGGCCATTTTTAGTGTTCTGCTGGCCATTTTGGGTGTCCGGCGGCCATTTTGGAACCGCCGAACAGCTGTTCCCCCATCGCAATGCAAGGATGCCCTCGCATTAGCGATGGGGAAATCCGCATCAGTATGCGGATTCTTCGTTAAACGGTGCACTCGTTATGCGAGGCACCACTGTACTTGAAAGGCTGTCCTGCAGAGGAAGGGCAGGATCTGTTCTCAGTCGTCCCAGGGTGCAGGACACGCAGTAAGGGGCTCAAGCTATAGGAAACCAGATTTAGGCGTACTATCAGGGAAAAACTCCCTAACTGTTAGAATGGTATGACGATGGAGCCCAATGGACTTTCTCAGTAGCCAGCGACGTCTACCCCACAGTAGCAGTTTTTAGGCCCAGCTGAGCAGAAGCTTTATCCAGCTGTTGCTTAAAATCCTGTCGGTGGATCCTTGGCTGAAAGGTACCGTTGAGATGGACCCTGGTTTTTCAGCATGCAGGAGTAGTGGAATGAATTTGGTCATCCAATTAGCTCACTTCCTTTCTCATGCCTCCTCTGCTTTTCTCTTTCCAGCTTGCAATGTAACCATCCACAATCGCTGCAAAGACACGCTACCCAACTGTACCAAAGTCAAGCAGAAGGTGAGTGGGTGGGTGTGAAGGGGCACCCGGGGAGGAGGGAGGAGAAGAATGACAGAGGAGAGAGTAACGGCGTATGGACTGACATCCCAGTGTTTAGCGTAGTAAGCGGCATCTAGAGTAAGAATGACAGAGGAGAGAGTAACGGCGTATGGGCTGAAATCCCAGTGTTTAGCGTAGTACAGTAAGCGGCATCTAGAGTAGACCCATTGAATCGGGGGATTTGATGCGTCAACTCTTCTAAAAGTCCCATTGATTCAGCAAACCTATTTTAGCCTCTGCTGTGCAAAAGGATTTCAGCCGTCTAAAAGTCCCATTGATTCAGCAAACCTACTGTGCAAAAGGATTTCAGCCAGTAACTGCATGTAGGACCTCCAGCGAGTAATGATTCAGCGTGTTAAGGATTCCGGCTTTTCGTTTTCCAGAAATGTCCTCAAGTTTCAAGTGTTGGGTGGTGGAAGCTCAAGAGCTTCCGTGGAGACAGAAGGGGAACCTGAGGATCTAAAGGGAAGCTTCATGTGTCACTTGGAGCATTTTTAAAGTATCTTTTTATTCTTATGTGTTCTGTTACGTATTCTATTTCTTTAAAATACATTTCTACTAGATTATTGTTATAATCTCTCAGAAATGTCCAGCGAGGCAGAATCAGAGAATTAACTCTGACTGCTCGTCCTAACTAGACTCATTGAATCAGTGGGACTTTCTGGGCTTTTACCCTCTATTTCTCTTAGTTATACCACCTTTTTCATCATCGAGAAGACCCTCTGCCTGTCGTCCAACCATCCTGCAACTTCCCTGCATTATTCTGCCTTTTCATTTTAGAGAAACCTTTATGCTTCCCCAAATCCCCTTTACTATTAGTCAGTTCTCTTTCAACAACAAACACGAAATTATCCTTGAAAACTAAAAATAAATGAAAGATACAGTTTTAGATAGATAGATAGATAGATAGATAGATAGATAGATAGATAGAAAGATAGATAGATAGATAGATAGATAGATAGATAGATAGATAGATAGATAGATAGATAGATAGATAGATAGATAGCTGTATCTTTCATTTATTTATATATACAGTGGTGCCCCACATGACGACAATAATCTGTTCCAGGAAAATAGCTGTTAAGTGAAATCGTCGTCATGCAAAAAGCCTTTCCCCGTTGGAATGCATCAAAACTCGTTTAATGCGTTCCAATGGGGAAATTACCTTGTTATCCAGCAAAGATCGCCCAAAGGGGAAGCCATTTTCTGAGCGCTGATCAGCTGTTAAAATGGCTGCCCTGCGAAGCATGGGTCCAGAAAACACAGGGCAGCCATTTTGCGGAGCCGGAAAAATCGTCGTCTTGCGAACAAACGGTTTGCGAAGCACGGACCTAATCGATGTCCAGTGGAATTTCCCCCATAGGAACGACTGTTTTGCGAATCGCTATAGCGATTGCAAAAAGTCACCGTCCTGCGGATTCATTGTACAGTGGGGTCGTCGTCTAGCGAGGTACCACTGTGTATATTAAATGAAAAATAAATATGAATGGAATGATGGTTTTTTTAAAAAGTAAGTAAAATCTATAGTGGAAACTGAACAAATTGAGTGTGAAATTTTGTGCGAAATACAAAGTCTTGGGGGGGCCCCTGCCAGAATTTTTCCACGCATGACCTTCAGTGCAGAATCCGTAGCCCTAGTTTATATGAATGGAATGATGGTCTATGGGGCTTAAGAAGGAGCACCCCCGGCTCAAGGGAGTTTATACGCTGGGTGGCCGAGAATGGTCTGCAGGGACATAAAGAGAACAGAACCTACTCATTGTAAGAACATTTTAAAAAGCGTGGCCTTACCATTAGGCAGAGCGAGCGACAGCTCGTGGCTGGTACTAAAGGAGAGCAAATTGTGAGCCAGTTAATTAGAGACCATTATGTTTTTACTGCCAGGACTAGGAAGGAATGCTTTGAGATTTTCTGCCCCACATGCCAAAAAGAAGACTCCGATGGCATTGGGCATGCTATCCCCCTTGACTTGGGATGGATTTTGGGAGCTACCTTTTATGACAGGTGCTTCAAGCAGAGAACGGTCTTGGTCTGGCTCCATTCATCCGGGCATTTCCCCCCCCCCAAGGGCGGCTGTGATTCTCCAGAAATGGGGTAGCCAAAAAAAATTAGGAGATTGTGGTGGGATCGGTGCTTCTTTCCAAGGGCGCACCAAGCCTTTCATCCCCTAACGTCTCTCTTCCTCTCTCTTCCCTCTCCCCCTTTACAGCAGCAAAAGGCAGCTTTGCTGAAGAACAATTCAGCCCTTCAGACGGTGTCGCTGAGGAATAAACGTGAGTGGAGCGACGAATCCCATGCCAATTTAAAAGTGGCGCAGAAGGATGGCGGTGGGCATCTGTGGTGGGAGGGATCTTCATTTGGTAAAGGCCCTGACTTTGTAAACAGAGGCTGGGCTGCTACAGCAAATAACGTTCTGTGCAATTTTATTTTCCAGCGAGGGAGGTGAGGCGTGTGGGAACGAGTAAGATTCCACCTGATCCCACTTTTGGAAATAACCAAATGAGTAAATCTGGGCATTTTAGAGAGCTCTTCTCTCCGAACAACACATTAGAAACTTTTGTCCTTGAGAAGCGGAAGTAAGATGCACCAGGTACAGTGGTGCCTCGCTTAACGAGGATAATCCGTTTCAGTGAAATTGCTGGAGAACGAAATCCTCGTTCAGCGAAATAAAAAAGCCCATTGAAACGCATTGAAAACCCTTCAGTGCGTTCCAATGGGCTGAAAACTCACCGCCCAGTGAAGAACCTCCATTTTCGCTGCCTGTAAAGCGAGGAATCCGTCCTAGAAAACAGCGGGGGGCCATTTTGTACACCCGGCAGCCATTTTGAAACCCCCCAATCAGCTGTTTTTAGATCGTTGTAATGTGAAAATCGGTTCCTGAGGCAGGGAATTGATCATCATGAAGCAGATTTTTTTTCCATTTAAACCATCGTTTTGCTATTGCTTTTGCAATTGCAAAAACCTAATCGCCAAGTGATTTCCTCATTAAGCAAGGCGATCGTTAAGCGAGGCACCAGTGTCGTTGGAAGAACAGCACTTTTATTTGCAGAAATAGGCTTTTTTCCTTGCCTGAGTTACATGATTAAGCTGTGCTACAGAAGGGCCCATGTTTGCTTTGCAAATCCTTACCCTTCCTCTTTTCAACCTTCAGCAGCCACCAGGGAGCGGCCCAACTCTGCCATCTACCCTTCTGAGAGCTTCCGCCAGACCCTCCTGGGGTCCCGCCGTGGCCGTCCCACCTTGTCTCTTTCCAAAAGTGTTTCCACCACAAACATTGCAGGGTAAGTGGAGAAGAACGGTGGGGAGAGATGGAGAAGGAGCTTCAGTCATCGTCCCAAAAAATGAACACTCTCTGAAAAGTGGGACTAACATTGAATGGACTTGGAAAAGGAGGGCCAGCGTGGAACGAGCTTTGGGTTGGGGAGAGCAGAGGTTCATAGATCTTCCCAGCTCCTCCATAAAATGCCTCCCCTCTCCGGAAGTGTGCAGATTTGTGGTTTCACAACACAACTCCCAAAGTCCCACAATCAGCCTAGCTGTTTAGGAATTCTGGAATTTGTATTTCAAACATGAACATTTCCACCCATCTTCCTCCTTACAGTCATGAGTAATGTAAGAACTTTGAAATAGCTGTGGTGGATCAGGCCGAAGACTTGTCCAGTCTAGCGTTCTCTTCTCACATTGGCCGAGCAGATACCTCAGTGGAAGGACCACAGGAGTGACATTCTAGCAATAAGCATATCATGTGACTCCAGAAAGAACATATAGCTGTCTTTCCGAGTGTTGTCTATGAACTTTGTCTAATCACTCTTAAAGCCATTCAAGTCTGTGGCAAACACTCAGTATAAATTACTGCAAAAACTGCAAGGAGTATTTGGAGACCTTGAAGACTAAAGAGACACCAGCTTTTTGTGGACTGTAGCCCACTTTTTCTGATGCAAAAAAAACCTGGTTTATCCGGGTAGGGATAAAATGTGGAATATATATATATTTTGGGAGAAGAGTCCCCAGAATCTGCCAGCCCTTGTGGCCTCCGTGTTGGCTAGTTGGGAAATTCTGGCAGATCTAACACAAAAGTGGCCAGAATCGTACTGGCATTCACGCAATGTTTCCGTGACTCATTTTGACTAATTGACAAGGTGCTGGGGGTGCATCTCAGTTGTGCAGTTGAGTGCACGACTAAGCAGTCGTGCAGAGCGCACAATTAAGCAGTTGTGCAGAGCTAAGCAGTTGTGCAGAGTACACGACTAAGAGGTTGTGCAGAGCTAAGCAGTTGTGCAGAGTGCATGACTAAGCAGTTGTGCAGAGTGCACGACTAAGCAGTTGTGCAGAGCTAAGCAGTTGTGCAGAGTGCATGACTAAGCAGTTGTGCAGAGCGCACGACTAAGCATGTAACTGGGGCATGTGATTAAGACACTCCATGGCACCTCATCACTTAGCCTCAATTAGCTGTGTCAAGTGAGGTAAATATTGTACATGAGTAGGATTCTGGCCAGTGACTTTCCCAAGCCCCAGGTTTTTTTCAGAGGCATTCGTTGTTTTGTGTCCAGCTGGTAGTGGCTAATGTATTTTGGTAGCAATTTCCGTGCATCACTTTTTTTCCTGTTTCTGGCATGTGTGATCACCTATATCCTTCCAAAGGGGCAGAGGCTGATGTGCCCTAAGGTGATCCTGATGGTTTGGGAAGTGGTGTAAAGGTAAAGGTTCCCCTTGACATTGAGTCCAGTCGTGTCTGACTCAAGGGTGTGGTGCTCATCCCCATCTCCAAGTCGTAGAGCCAGCATGCAGACAGATTCCGTGGTCATGTGGCCAGCATGACTAGACACGGAACGCCATGACCTTCCCACCATGGTGGTACCTATTTATCGACTCGCATTTTTACATGCTTTCGAACTGCTAGGTTGGCAGGAGTGAGAAGTGGCATAGCGATAAATTAATATAACAACTTAGGAAACCGCACTGCTTGTTTGACATCGCAACATTGGAGAAAAGCAACATTAAAAAATTTGTCCAGAAGAGAGACAACAAGTGTTCGCCTGAAATGTGATCAGTGCCATTTTCTCATTTTTCTGAAAGTTACATTTTAAGGGCACCTTTAGAAGCACTCTGACAATAAATTTTCAAGTTGGGCGCCCTTCTCCCATAAATTCTAAGACACCCCACCCTCAAAATGTAAGAGAAAGTGGCCAAAGTCCAGCAAGAGCACAACATGTGATGCAACAAGTTACTTTAAAAAAAAACATTGTAATAAATAAAGGGCAATGGTCAAAACTCCAATTCGGAAAATTGTTGTGTGTAAGGGCAATCCAACACGCAAGTGGATTTCCCACTTTGCCAGCTGCATCGCCCATTTGATGACTCAGTTAAAGAATGATCAGGTGTGTAGCAGACAGCCAACAGAATGCAACCCCCTTCTTGCACGATTGTTTTTTAAGCAACGGAATTCTAACAAATAGGTTGCTTTTGGAATATTGTTAAGAAGTAATTGGAACAGTTTAGTTAGTTAGGCACCCTTCAGTCTCGAGAGACTATGGTAACGTGCTCTGTATGGAGGTCTTGGAACAGCGTCTAGTGTGGCTGAGAAGGCCAATTCGAGAGTGAC